TTTGCCTAAAGGTGTATGTCACTCTTGAACTGACTTTTAGCTCCTGCAGATCCCTCAGCTCCACACTAGATGGGAGGCCCTTACATGCCCAAACACGGGGTGACATGCGTTGACAGCTCTTGGGAATGCTGTGGTTTCCTGCTGGACCCCTGTGTGATGAGCTGCCTTGAATTGTGGCAGCTTTCTTGCCTCTGCACAAGACTGTGGTTCCTGCTGCCCAGTCCATTCATTGCAGAAGTTTGAAGTACAATTCCCTGCCTAAAAACTGGTAGTGGTGCAGTGCCACATCCTGAAACTGTTGGGTCAGTGCTTAAAAATCGCACAATTAACTGGAAGAGTTGGGGTTTCTTCTAAATGGAGTGAGGTTTTCCTGGTAGAGATAGAGGTTTTGGGTTTTAAAGTTTGTAGGGTTTTCATTTTTTGTTTTGGGTTTTTGTTTGTTTGGGGTTTTGCTTGTTTGTTTGGGGTTTTGTTGTTTTAGTGAAAAAATGACTGAGGGAGCAAGAGTTGGGAATCACCCCATGCATATGTCCATGGAGGCAGCTTCAATAAGGGCAACAAGGCATAACTACAAAAGAAAAATTAATGAAACCCGAATTTTGATTTATTAGTGTCAAACTATTTATTGCAACACAGAAAGGGGAAAACATTTAAAATCAGTCATTAGGTAAATGCTAGCATAGGATCAGTGATTTTAAGAGACCTTTTTAGTGTGCACCAAATGTAGATTGTGGTCTTGTGTTCACATTTTTCTCAGGTAAAGATTTTTTTTCCCGTGTCACTAGCAGTATGGAAAAGGTGTAAATGGAAGATTATTGGCCTTTGCACAACAGAACATAATGGAATTTTCTAGAATGATTTTTTCCTACAAAGTTATAAATTAATATTTGTATTACTGTTCTGTAGAATAGCATAAAATAAATTATCTTATTTTGGTTGTAAAAGACCTGTTTCAAAGTTCGTAAGAGTCAATCTACATGCCTACTTGAAGAAAAAAATAAACAAGAATGAGAAAAAAGTGAATTAACTTGGCTTAGAGTCAAAGCCTTGTTAAGATAAGTGGCAAGATAGCAGACAAAAATTGGAGGGAGAAGAAAGTAAAGAATATAATTAAAATGTTATTTTCTTCTCTTTCCAGTTACCTGTCTCTTTTTTTATTCATATACGCTTGTTGAAATTGCATGCAAATGATTGATTGACTCAGCGAACTCATTGTAATAAATTATGTTTGATGTGCTATCTTGAAAAAAATCTTTTGAAAGTTCTGTCTCTTTTCTTTGTCTACTGACCTTGTGGCTTTTAATATCTTGTTTCCCATCTGTCTGATTCCATCATAAGCTGAGCATAACTTTTCAGACCTTAATGCAGTTCTCTTTTTGTTCTGGTTTAAGTAAGTCTGTAACACAAATATGTGCTTTGGCCATCAACAGTAATATTAGAAAGGAATGTTGAAATATGTGTTCCCTTTATTGATGTGAAATAAAGAAACACTTATCTGTAGATATTTGATAATACATATTTACAGTGCATAGGTCTGTCCCTGCAAGCAAATGAATACAGAGATGTCTGTATCATTGTATTACATCTGCTTTAATGTTACAAGTTCAAAGGTTACTTTTAAGGATTAATTCTTAATTAAAGGAGAAAAGAAATAGGTCTATAGGGTTTCAGGAAAAAGTTTTAAATATAGATTTAAAAATACTTAACTGAATGTGTCATACAGATGTACCCAAATTGCAATTTGAGAGATTGATTGTATTATAGATATTCCTGCTGCAAGAATTCTCTCTAGCAGTGAGGTCCTGAGTCTTGAATTACAGGGGAATTTGGAGAAGTAGACTTACATTGTTAAAAACATTTTTTTTTTTCCCTAGAGTATATCATCTCAGTAGAAATGTTCAGTTGGGATATCTTTTTGTACTTATAGGTCAGCAGTTTGCTTAACAACTGTAAAGTATAGGTAAATAAATTCTTTGTGTTCTTTATAAAGGACATAAATTGTTTATGCTGAAAGACTTTTCTGGATAGTGCCTTTATAGTGAGACTAATCTTTGGAGAGACCGCAGAGAATGAAGTGAGCCAGGAAGAGAGAGAAGGAAAAAGCATGGTAGTCCTGGGAATGTCTGTAACAGTTAAATGGGACAGTAGAAACAGAATCATCTTTTAAGTTTGCTGAACTTGTCAGAAAGTTATTATAAATGGGCCAAAAAGCCTTTGAGTTCACTCAACTAAGTGTATTCATACATGAAACACTAAACACTGAAGTATTTACTTTGATGTGGTCTACATAAGTTTATTTGTTTGGCGATGATACTGTGACTACTGCTAGTAATTATTTTTGGCTGGCTAATTTGACTATGAACAAGATACCCAGCTCAGAGAAGGAAGTCAAAGAGAGCCAAAAGACTTAATGATTTATTGAAAAGACAATAATAAGTAAACCAGTGTTGTTTGCTACATAGGCATATGCGTTCAAGCAAGTGATCAGTACGTTGACTGAAATGGAATTATTCTTTATACTAAGTAGCAAGTTGAACTGATATCTTAATATAGTCTAAGCAACTGTTAGTTCCAAAATTGCTGTCTTCACTAAGCTTCTGATTTCCCTTGCATTTCTGTCTATTAATACTGAACCAAGTCTTTGATCAGGAGCTTTAGTGGTGCAATTTCAGTACCTAGCAAGCCTTATATTTTGTCCTTTTTTTCCTATTGTACCACAAACAAGTGCTTTGGAGAAATCTAGATGTGTATTTTTTCCATTGCTGAAAATATTACATTCATCTCATCAAGGAAACTGAAGCAATTTGCAATGCTGTGATAAAAAGATGTATTTTTAAGGATAGAAGTTTTCTTGTGAAAATTCTTGTGAAGAATTTTGTTTATGAAACTCCTACCCCAATTTCTACAGCATAGAATATATACAAATAAATGGAATGAAATATTGGCTCAATTATATTAAAAATGAATATTTTAGGATTTCTGTTACACTAGGTTTTAATTCATTATGTCCTTCCCAGAGTTAAGTTTGGTATCGTGTTTACTTCCAGAAATGTGGGAAGTTAAATGTGTGTATCACAGAGGGTATTCTTGTGTCTTTAGAAGTAAAAGCCCGTTGTAATGGATGCATCTCCTCGTCAGGGAAATTTGTGTTGAGTATGGCAGCTGTGTAGTCTTGCAAACAAATACAGAAGAATGATTAATGATTAATATTTCATCATCTTTGCAGAGCTATTTGCTGTGTTAGAAAAATTATCACTATGGAGTGTGACCCCATATTGAAAAATGACAGGAACAATGGGTCAAGGCTATTTGTTATTAATAAATGACACAGGCTTGTGACTCACTGAGTTCTCTCTATAATCACAGTGTGTTTCATTCTATATTGCTGAGGAAATCTCTATTGCAAACCAGAGGAAAAAGTTCTTTCTGTGTACTCTCAGATCCATTTCGTTAAGTGCTGAGATTTTCCTGGGGACCAAAGGAGAGATTAGATATTGTTCAACATTTTAGCTGAATAAAGTGACAATGGGCTATAATAAGCTGCAGTGAAATTCAGCTACAAAGTGCTTTTCAACACTTCTCAGTAATAAGGAATTTTATTTGTAGTTAGTATATATAGAATATAACTTTTGTCTGCGGTGAAGTTCTTATTTGCTCTATATTTTCCTAGGTTTTCTGCTGTACAGAATCACTGCATCCATGATTTACAGTTAAATGTATGCTTTAAATGTGAGTGACACATTCAAGTTGCCTTGTGAGAAAATATGGAGAAAGAAGAAGAAAATGAAATGGCATTCTTTTTTTAGAAATTCTGATATAATTCGCTTACTGGAATATGAACGGTGGACTCTGAATAAATTACTACATGTTTTGTTGTAGATTAGACTGACTAGTAGGCACAAAATAGTGTAAATGCTTTGATCATCGTAGCAAATTTCTTCCATCTAGGGGAAAAATATGGAGAAAATAATATTTTGGGAAAAAATGGTCACATGGCCTACTGTTTAGACAAGCACTTGCATTTACTGGTTAATAGTATAAAGTTACTATTTAACAGAATAAAACAAGTATATTGTATCTGGTGAATTAGTGATAACGATGCAAGGTAATTAATGCTTTATTGTGTTACTTGGCTTCAGATATAGTTGCACACTGTATTCTCTCAAAGAATTAAGAATAAAGAATCTGCCATTGATTATAACAGAATCACTGATTTTCATGCATTAGTGCATTACATAAATGTTCACTTCTTTTTCCTAAAATATAGTCATGCTTACAAGATATATATTAAACCCCTCAAATTCTGGTTACTGAATTAGAATGCCATATTTCCCCTAAAGTTAATATTTTTCTAGTTTTGTCTGTCTGACTAATAACTTGATAAATCTTTCCTTTTCTTCTAATGACAGATGACTTATTAAGGGCTACCACTTAATTAATATTGCAGAACATGTGGGGAGCTGAAGAATTCAGAAGTATTTTCCATAGCTTGGACATGTAAAATGAGAAGCATAGGAGAAAACAAAAAGATAATCTTGTAACTGAGAAAAAGCCTTTTGATTTAAGCATGGGATTGAGGTTCAGGAAGTGGTGAGTTCTGTCCCACAAATCCATCATACTTCCCAATAGACTATGGATAAGACACTGATTTTTATTTTACTGCAGTTGACCATTCTGCAAAATATGTAGGGGAATTTTGGTAGTTTAATACTTAGGGTAGTTTAATACTATATGTGTCTAGCATTACTAGTGTTATAGGGAATGTATTAATTTTTGAGTTTATTGAGTTGTACTTTAACAAGCACTTCCATGATATAATTGTAACCTGATTTTTTTTTAATATTAAAGGCGTACATAATATATAATATCTAAAGGATACTTTTGTGACATAAATATTTTAAATTATGTATCTAAAACACATGGAAATAGACAGTAGTCTCAGAGAAGTCGTTGATGAAGTTTCAGCTTTCCTGAATACTATACTTTTTCTCCATTTCCAGGTTGCATGTCTCACTCATGTAGCAGCTAATTACCTTAATTGCAAAATTGAAGCAAAACGCTGGGGTACTGCTCATGGGAGTATTGTTCCATATCAGGTAAGCAGAAAGCATTAAGTTGTTTTTTTTTTTTTCCTCTTGGAATTCATTATTTTGTGTATTATGAGATTGAGAACTGACTTTTCCCATGACCTACTGTAGTCTGTAATGTGTCTGTGTCTAGGTACGACAAGGTTCTGTTGTTCATTGTCATTTCTGTATTTTGTATATTTCTTCATCAGCAGTAGATTAGTAACAGAACACTGAAATAGATCAAAGGTGTTTGCTGAAACTGGATGACTTTAAAGCTAGCATGATGGCTTGATTGGTTTTCACCTGACACAGAAACCTTTTTTTTAAGGGCTGCCTGACTTTCATACCAGTTATAAACTGAAATCTTTTCCTTCTGAATTTTGTGAGACTACAAGGTTTTATCTTGTGGGTCTTAAAGAGCAGTCTGAATGACCAAGATAATCTGTCAGTTCTACATATTTGTCATTTGCTATTGATTTTGCTACAAATCACTGCCTCAGTGTGACAACAGGTTGACAAAAGGAATTAATCAGATATCAGATCTCTTCAGAAGAATTCATAGTCTGCTACATCTAACGAAGGGTTGAAATTCCTTAAAATAACATGACCTTTATCATATAAACAAGCACAGGAAAAAAAAAAAGCTCACTTCAAGTTTTATCCTACTTTTGTGCAGTACAGGAAATTCTTCCAGTAAACAAAAACTTTGTTCTTTTCTAGCTGTTCATTTTTTGTTCATGATGGAGATCATGCTAACTTATGGAGACTTGGGCATATATTTAATTTTGAAAAATCTGGTTTTTCTTGTTTGTTGTTTGTTTGATTGGTTTGGTTGTTGTTGTTGTTGTCATGTTTGCAACTAGGCAGGCAGAGCCTGCATTTCTCAGTTTCTGTCCAGAGACCTTTAAGTCCTGAGAGGGGTAGTTTCCAGCATTTGTCCATGAGAACTGCACTGCTGAGTTTCTTTATTATCTCCTTTCTTTTTAGAGAAAGTGAGGGAAGTTCAATATATTGTCTTCCCAGTGGTGAAGGTGGTGGTGATCATAACTGAAATATTTGCTGCTTGTGGCCATATATACTCTGAAGCAAAAATTTTCCACCATTGTGTAGAACACTGTCACTAGTTAGTGTCACAGCCAGGCCTCCTCAGGTTTAACACCGAAATGAGTTGGTTTTGTAAGAACTAAGTCTACTTGGTCTAGGATAGTTTTTCTAGCACTTGCCACTGCATAATCAAATGTGTTGTTAAGAATTAGCTACAACAGATTGCAAGCGGTCTCAGAGCAATGGGGAGATGGTGTGGCTCTTCCTGCAAGAATGAGTTTGGTCCTGCAGTATCCTTGTCTCAAGTGTAGTGGAGCACAGAAGTGATTGTGGTCCCCTCTGCATGTCATGGTGTGGCAACATGGCCATGTTTTCTAGATACCAGCTCTGCATGACCCAATGTAACCAAGCATCCATTACACAAGCAGTTGCATCCTGCTGTGTTTCTGTGATGCGACCTTTTGGTGCAAACCTTCTTGAACTTTGGTATGTTGAAAGTATAAAACAGATCTGAAGTGTCCGAAGGTTGTATAAGCAAATCCAAAAACCTGACTAAACAAAACATTTTATCTTCACCATACTGCATTTGGCTGAATAACTGAAACTTGCATTCTTTTATGTCCTTTTGGCCTTTGTTTTTCCACAGTCATTATTACATTCATTGAGTATCCTTTCTTTTATTTTTTTTTCTCATAGAAAGTTGTCAAGGTATAAAAAATTTGAGGAGATTGTTTTAGATGTCTTCTGATTTAATCTAGATTAGTCATTATGTAAATAATTTAAAAAAAATTACTCCATCTAAACTATGGTTCCTGTTTTTCTGTATGCTGTTTCTATAGTAGATATTAGAAATATTATCTCAATATTATAAACCATTTTAATCTGAATTTTCTTGTTCATAAACCAGTACTGAGGGTGAATGTACTATGGGTGGAGTTGTGTGTATGTGTGTTTATGGCTTGTTTGTTAACATTCCATCAGCTAGCATGGTTGTAATTCTGACTGTGACCATAAGAGTATTATAGTTTCTAGTGGTTTTTTATTCCTTTACTAACATAAGCTATACTTAGATTCCAAAACTCTTGATAAACTTGAATTAATCCTCACTGTTGCTATTGTACTACTTTTATAGTATCTGCTGGAGCTGATTTGTAATAAAGTTTAGAACAGAACTCTGAAACCTGACTTTCATTCCTCATCCTAGTTATTGAGTGTAGTCTGTTGCTTACTAAACACTGTGACTATCACAGTGCTAATTTTTACAATTTTTTTTGTTTCAAGATATTTCATTCAAGTGAATTACAACTTATTCAAATAATAAAAAACACATTTCAGAAAATTTTATGTATATTTCTATATATTTCAAAACAAGTAGGTGGTAGCAAACTGCTGGGGAGTTTTGTTGTTGGTTGTTTTTTGGTTTTGTTTTGTTTTTCCTAATGTCCTTAACTTTATTTTGTATTGCTTTGCTGTATTTTGAGTTTTTATACAAGTAATAAATTATGAAGTGATACAGAGCCTGCAATCCTTCTAAAAAGTTTCCAATTTTGTTAAATCATGAAATATCAGGCAAACATGAGGTCCTCTTATAGATATTAAAAAGCAAAAATCAAAACAACATCATCTTTCAGTGTGACAGATGTCTTATCAGAGTCACAGTAGAGTTCTGACCAAAATAATAAAAAAATATTAAAAGCACCCTAAATATGTACATGAATAGTATTTTTTTCCTAATTGTTACAGTGCTCTACTGAACACATTAAGTAGTGTATACTGAATGTAGCTTCTATTTCATTAAGCTTTACGTGAATAATTTTGTTCCAAATATCTTTGCAAATGTCTCAATTTTTTTTTCGATTTACAAGGTCAAATTTACCTTTGACTAAATCTCTTTTATTTCACTGAATTTCCCTATTGCTTCTTGACTGAAAAACTAGAAGCATAATTTGTTCCTGAATGTGTTCTCTAGAATGACCTTTAGTACTTTTCCTTGTATTTAAAAACATAAAAATTGAACATTAATGGGCAGATGGCATTTTTCCTTCCTGAAACTAATAAAATGCATAACAAAATCTATTTCTGCTCTGGTCTAAGTTTGGTGTGCAAGGACTTTCACATTCTTTTAAGATTTTTCCTCGTTTGCTGATAATGCACTGTCTTTTTGTCACGATCATCTGAAATGCTTGAGTTTTCAGTTCTGTGTGTTCATCTCCAGAACCCAAAAGAAAGGATTTGAACTGCTTTTGGTGTGCAATGTCTTCCAGGGTTCCAGTAAAGCTGTCTGCAAAGGTTTGCCATAGATTTTCCATGGAGGTGAACTTTGCAACGTACCACAAAGATGAAGTACTCTAGATTCTTATCAAAATCAGAAATAGTTTTTTGAGTCCTGAAACCTTCATGAGAAATTATCTACTTGGAGATTATCTGCTGTTTAATCAGAGCAATGTGGTGTTTGTGTGTGTGATCGGATCCCAATTTGCTTGGTTTCAAATGTTTAAACACAAACCTTGAGTTCTGGGCTGTATCTTAGATGTAATTAGTAAAAATTTTCAAAACTAATTTCTGTAGTGAGACACCTTGTTTAGCAACAGCTGCTCCATGGTTATCCAGAGGAAAAAAAGTCCGTTTTTGTAATTGTACCAAAAAATAAAATTGTCTTAGTGTCTTTTGTTTGGGGTGATAAAATCTTCCCTCATTCTAGTGGTTTCAGCAATGTAGCTCTCTTGCCCATACCAAGCGTGAGATCTAGACAATCTTATTTTCTGCTTTCAACTGGCTAACTTGGAAAGGATATTCATGCTCCTGAGAAAGTGTATCTAACCTGAATGTTTACAGGATGTTTCAGGTGGCAACTTATCACCCTACCATCAGATACCCTGAGCAACTGGGCAGCACTTTCAGAGGCAAACTTTCAGCGAAAGGTATAGCGCTGTTTTCTCTTGGGCCATAATGATGGAAGTCTATTTAAAAGCTGAGAAACCAAGCTCATACAGATAACTAATGAAAAAGATATTATTTATGTTCCAGATTTGGTCCTAAGACTCACAAGGTTTTCTCAAGTATACTTCAGTACATTTTCATAATGTGCAAAGAGAAGAACAACTCTGAATGGAAGTTGAAAGCATAAGACATTAAAGAAATTATTATTTTAAACACTTACCTTTTCTGTTGACTGACCTATGCATTGCCATAACTCATCAGACCCAACAATAGTGTTTTTTGTATTAGAACATTACTTAGATTCTTTAAGCATCAACTTTCTTTTGTGCTAGGCATAAAATTTGCTTCATATGAGGAAACTGTCTCGGTTTCAAAGGCATTAAAATATGTTATGAAAACCAAAGCATAAGCTCAAAATGAAGTGAAAGGTATGAGGTATTAGGAAGAGGATGATAGCCAAAGATACAAATATCTTTGCATTATTTTTATCATATGCATCTCATACTTTTTGATCGTGGAATTTCATGCTATTCAGGAGTCTTACAAAGAAAATCCCACTTATGTCATTTGTGCCTCATCACAGGAACAGAGAAATGCAATAAGTTATTAGTTACCTGATTCATCTGGCAGAGATTCTTTTCACACAAAGGCACAGTGTTCACCAATTTTTCTAACTCAGATCTGGAGAATCTCTCAGAACTTTTAATCTCGTTTTTTTTTTTTTCTTCCAATCAGGAGGACAGCAGAATAGTGTCAATCATTTAGAAATTTCAAACTGCTTATTCCACACAAGAACGGTGGCGTGTAGTCATTTTCTTGTCTGTCCTTATGTGATTTTATTGGACACTTCTGCAGTTAATGAGTCTTTGAATCAGAAGCAACAAAGAATAGAACTTGGATTATTTGCCAAGGTTTTTATACTTTTTTTTTTTTTTTTTGGTGAGGGAGGGAGTTTTAAATTTAGGCAATGCAAGATGACCCTTCTTACTCTGTGAATATTATCTACATAGTACTCACCAGGACTATTTAGACTGCCTCGGGGA